GTAGGGTTTGGAGACGGTTCGTAGATACAAAGGTCGGTGAATTCAAAAAAGAGCTAGAATTCAAAAGGTCAAAGGCTAAGAATGGTGAGGATATTCAGCCAGCGGGGACCAATCTATGTGCATACTATGTCTGTAAGATGATCCGAAGATACACCTCTGAGCGGGTTCCGAGTGATACCAATGCTCAGAGGAATAACCTCCGGATGATGCTTAGTCCAGAAGCTCGCTTCCGACCACTTCAAGAGGAACTAGCTGGATGGTTCAGGAGGGAAGTCCTCCATCCTAAAGGAGAACACCATTACGAGGACGTAGAACTTTATATGCATTAAATTATGTATGGAAACTTGTTCAAAATTGTATATGGTCATCCGATGATATTGAATATATATTGTATATTCCTCTTGAATTCTTTTTGGTTCTAATTTCAAATTTGTTTGAAATTGTACATTCATATGCATGTATGTAGTACCGTAGAATATGTGAAACTCCTTCAAAATTAAAATAAAGCACAAAAGAAATAAAACAATACAAATTAAACAGAAAACAGGTTTAGGGGGGGGGGGCTAAAACCCTAAACCTGCGGCGGCCTTTAGTCGCGGTTGGCCAGAAGAACCGCGACTAAAGGTCCTCCGCCCCGACGGCCGCCTGGCGCCCACGTGGACGGGCCTTTAGTCGCGGTTCTTAAGCAACCGCGACTAAAGGGGGGGGCCTTTAGTCGCGCCTATTTGGTCGCGGTTGCGCAACCGCGACTAATGGCAGTTGCGAACCGCGACCAAAGGCCCTTTTTCCACCAGTGGAGACACCTTCTTGTAATTTCATACTCACTCCGTTTCAAAATAGATGACCCAACTTTGTACTAACTTTAGTACAAAGTTGGGTCATCTATTTTGAAACGGAGTGAGTAGTTTCTAGTTTTATTTCTTCTTTTTTTTGCGAGAAAATTTCCGATCTATTCATCTTCAATCATGGCAGTACAATGAATACTAGAAATAATAAAAATTACATCCAGATCCATAGACCACCTAGCGACGACTACCAGCACTGAAGCGAGGCGAAGGCGCGCCGCCGTCATTGCCCCTCCATCGACGGAATCGGGCACAATTTATTGTAGTAGACAGTCAGGAAGTCGTCGTGCTAAGGCCTCGTAGGATCAGCGCACCAGAACAGCAACCGCCGCAGATGAAGAATAAAGTAGATCAGAAAGATCCAATCCGAAGACACGCGAACGTAGACGAACAACGACGAAATCCGAGCAAATCCACCAAAGATAGATCCGCTGGAGACACACCTCCATAGGCCCACCAACGGTGCTAGACGCGCCGCCGGAACGGGGACTAGGCGGGGGGACCTTTATTCCATCTTCAAGGAGCCGCCGCCATCTCGTTTTCCTGAGTAGGACACAAACCCTAGCAAAACTGAAAAAAATGACTAAAACCGGAGCCCTCCCGCCGGCCCTTGCCGAGATCCACCGCGTCCCCACGGCCCTAGGGCCACCGAAGAGGAGGCGGACATGCGACGGCGACGGCGGGAGGCAGAAACCCTAACTTTTTTTGTGGAGGAAGGAGCAGACGACGGCTAGTTTCTAGTTTTATTTCAATCGCACTACTTTTCTAGGAGCATGCTAACTTTAATAATTAGACATAGGAATAATAAAAGTTAGGGCTGTCAAAGTACCATTGAAAATAAAAGTGTTTATGTGGTTTGTTCATAAATAAGTTATTTTAATCAAGGACAATTTGATAAAGCGTAATTGGACAGGACCTACTAGGTGTAGTTTCTGTGATTGGGATGAGATGATCAAACACCTCTTTCTTGATTGCCCGTTGGCCAAGGTTCTTTGGCGGATGGTCCACATTGCTTTTATTATTACTCCACCAAATTCTGTCAACACGTTATTTGGGACATGGCTTAATGGGATTGAGCCTGACTTAGAGAGACATATTCGTGTTGGAGTTTGCGCTTTGTTGTGGACTATTTGGAATTGCAGAAATGATTTAGTTTTTAACAGAACATCACGTATTCACTTTTTGCAGGTTATTTTCCGAGCCACGACATTGATCCGTTCATGGTCGCTACTCACTCCGATGGACGCCAGGGAGCATTTGGTTACTGGATCCATCCGCTGGAAGATGGTAGCTCGGGATATCTTCAACCGGTTTGGATGGCGGTCATGTAATAGGATAGGCAATTAGTTTACCTATCTATCTTTAGCCAGCCGGTTGTGCCGTCTTTGTCTGGGTAGTTTGTATTTCTAGCCCTTTTTGGCTCTATGTGAGCTTTCTTTTCAGTTTTTTTACTGTTGGAGACGTTGGCACCTTGTTTGGAACCTTTTTATTTGGTTAATAAGATGGACGTATGCATCACTCTGATGCAGAGGCCGGAGAGAACCCCCTTTTCGAAAAAAAGGAATAATAAATAATCCATATTGTCTAGCATTTTCTCTCTCTCTCTACATATGTATTTATACTACTCGTCTAGCTATTGTCTATTAACCGAAGAGTTCTGCAACATTGCAGATTCATAGCTCTTATAGTTCCGAGATAAAAAGTTCTACAAAACTCAATCTTAGTCAGAGCGACCAAATCAAGGTTACCTCTCCAGCCCTAAATCAAGGTTTGCAGAACGATTTGATGGCGTGCTTGGGGGCAATTTCTTCTATGAGGGTAAAAGGTTTCACAAACTCAAACTACAAGATTAAAAGTAGAATTTAATCTTCAGATAATATACGCAGGTTCTTTCTCCCAAAAAAATCATCACGACCACAAAAGTAGCAATACCAGATGTTCTGCCATAGCAGTCCTATGCATTATTGCCAAAAAGGAAAGTTGTATCATACATTTTTTCCTGATAAGGGGCACTTTATTAATCCAAGTGTCGCAATGATTGACACAAACCAGTCAGCACATCCGACCTCTGCATGATTAGGATGCAGACAGCCAAGACGCTTTATTCGTAAATACAAAGTTATGATAAGACCAAGTAGACCACCTAAGGCGAAGATGAAAGTGGTGCTTGAGCAATCCTAACAATGATGCCATCCATATGGGGAAAATAATAATTTAAGCCAATTGTTACAACCGCATACACACTATCGTCAATAGCAGTTGGTGTCCTTGTCGCTACCGTGTAGATCACAAATGGAGCCAGTGCGTGCACTAGTATATAGGCCGCACTGAAGCGAAAGTGCTCTTGTGAGCTCGAGTTCATATGCATCATTTGCTACAGTAAAATAAAAAAATCTGAATTTTTTTGACAACAAACATTGATGTCTTTTTCACATGCGTGCAAAATTTCATGACAAAATGACATTCATGCATGCCTCGGTGAAAAAACAAAATCGATGCTTCAAAATGCTTTTAAAAACAGTTTTTTTCGAGCATGATTTTGTCTTTTTTGTCGAGGCCTCCACAAATGTCATTTCATCATGAAAATTGGTACGCATGTGTAACAAATATCAATGGTTGTTGCCAAAAAAAAATCAGATTTTTTTGAACTTTTTAAATATATTTTTGGACTTTACTGTAGCAAAGGGTGCATGTGAGCTCGAGCTCACATACTCCATGTCTGCACTGAAGAGGGATCTTTACCATTAAAAGCGAAATATTTCCTACATACTAGAGGGAGCAAATAGGGCCACCTTTGCCATCCTTAGTATATGGCCTCCGGCGGAGGGGAAATTTACCATTAAAACGAATTAATTCCTACATAGCCCAAAATGTGTTTTATCATCTCATCGGTGAAACTGAAACCATCGAAAAGGTGGTCGAGGGTGTTAGCCTCAATAAGTCGCGGCGGCGATCGGGTGCAATGAGCGCGTGTGTGAGCGCGCGCTGACCGTGTCGGATGCGTCGGCTCCGTGGCGGGTGCGTGCGTAGGTGTGTGTGGTGCGTAGGAGCGCGTGCGCGCGCGGTAGGAGCACTGTAGATGCAGGAGGCCGTTGGCGAGCAGGGCGGTGTTGATCAAGTCATGATGGCGTGGGCTCGGCGCGACCCATGCGAGTGTGTGCGCGGCCAGAGCGGGCCAAGTCGTGGCCTGGCTGGGTGGGGGACGTGCGGGTCATGCCCGGCGTTTGCCCAGGGTATAGGAGCACCTGCAGGGCTCATTGTAACGGCGGGGGAGTCGAGTTCGAGCTCGGAAAAAATACCGTTTGTGCAGTGGCGTTCGTGCGCCGGAAAACCTCCCCGTGCCCGGTGTTTCCTCCTTCTTCGTTGGTTTGAGCCACATAGAGAGAGAGAGAGAGAGAGAGAGAGAGAGAGAGAGAGAGAGAGAGAGGTAGAGCTAGGGCAGTCTAGGGTTTAGGGTTTCAGGCGCCAACAGAGGGCATGCATCGAGAAATCATTGTTACCCTGTTTCGTTATCCCAAGAAAGTCCAACTTATGCTCACACGCACAATGGGCAATCTGTTAGCTTCCAAAGATGACTTCAAAGTACGAGAGTGCATATCATGTCCAGAGATGAATTTTACTTCTTGGGCCATATAATTAATTCTAGTTGCTATCAAGTTATTACAAGATGACTATAGTACTAGAGTGGATTAGAGCATATGTAGTTGGGAGTCCATAGTACATTCTTTTTTTCTTGATCTTTTTTTCTTGAAACTGAGGCCAAACGGCCTCTTCCATTTATTAAGAAGAGAATCATCTGATTAATTAGCGAAAAATCAGAAGAAGCCGTTTCACAACACTTAATCTTCATCAGGGCTCATGGACATTGGTGGGCTTCTTCCCAGATTGAGGTTCGGTGGTGAATCTGTACGATCTCCTTGATTGCTTGAGAAAAGTTGGGATTGTCATTAGTGTATCCCCTGATTATACTAGAGCATAGGTTGTTGAGATGCGCTCATGCGCATCAACATGACTAGGTAGTTGGAGCATAGGTAGATGGGAAGCACATTAGTTAAATTGAGATGATTAACTCGTAGATAGTTGGGATGCCCATTAGTGCATTATTTGCAACACTCAATCTTCAACAGGGACTCATAGACATCGGTGAGCTTCTTCTCACATCGAGATGGCTGAGTGAGTTTGTATCATCTCCTTGATTGTTTGAGCACCATGCATTCCTTCCGTCTGAAAAATATAACTAGATTATGCTAAATGATATAAATGTCTGCTATTGGCACACAAAATTGTCAAAGTATGGGCACACAAAGATTTGTACATATTTTAACTCCGCCAAAATATATAGTTACCAAAATACCTGGTCATTTATGGTACACATGCTCTCGTGTGAGAGAGCACATTGTAAGTGTCGGGCAGCGATCCCTCATTTTGGGAGATGAGGGCATGGGAGATGGAGTGAACTGAACACTATGAAAAAATCGATAGGCTGAATTGCATATAGACCCAATAACAAGAAAGACGCCGGGATATAGTTTGACCAGCTGTTTGCCCTAGCCTGGCCTGACTTTTCCTATTGTGCATGAACATTAGGCTCAATCCCGACTCTTTTTCAAATTGAAATTTGGCCAAAAAACCTTAACAAAATCCCATCCCAAATAGCCTTAGTGAACCACGACCTGATTCATGAGATAGACCTACAAACTTTTACTTTGAGAGACAAATCATTCCTAAAAAGCACTAGCAAACACATGTGTTCACAAGCGTCAGTCATGCCACACATATGTCTAACAAGTTTTCAGGCAAGTACATGCAACTACGGTACACAATCTTATAAACTCGCAACATGATGAAGCATAATTTTCAAATATGTTAAACAATGATCTGGCTTAAGCATTTCATAAAGGAATGTATGATAGATTGAAGAACATGAAATAAACATAAAAAGTAAAGATTCCGAATAATGCCAAAGCCCTGTAAAAGTTCTAGTTCTACATTTGTTCCGTACTTTGCATCTTGATGTTTCTCCATGTACCCGATGATGTGCAACATGACATGCTTGTACAAGTTAGACTGATCACATACGTTTAAAAGAGTCGTGCACCTCAAGAAGAACCTATTTTTTTTCTCGGGCCATGCTTGACACGCCTTCTAATCAATGATCCTCATTTGTTTAATTCATGAGGAATAAGGATGACAAGTTTACCCAAGGGTACGGGTACCCGCAGACACCATACCCGCATGGGTAGGGTATGGGCTCAATTTATACCCATGGGTAGTACCCATACCCTACCCGTTAAGTCATGGGTAGAGTATGGGTATAGCCTTTTACCCATGGATATACCCATACCCTACCCATTTATAGTGACATATGAATTTTACCCGTGATTCACCAGTGTACCTATGTTAAAATTGTGTTGTGAGCTTATGAACCCATGTTAAAGTTGTCACCAATTGTCAATTTGAATTGAGATAATTGTCGTGTACTTATCTATCTAATATTGAGTTGAGATCAATATTTTTTTGTTAAATGTTCTATAGATGAATGTAAAATTTTGAATAACTTTTGTACTATTTGATCTACCCATTGGGTATGGTACCGTCGGGTATGGGTACGGGTAAAATTTCATACCCGTGGTATGGGTATGGGTAGAATTTCATATCCATTGACTACAAGGGTATGGGTATGATATTGCTCTACCCGCCCCATACCCTACCCATTGCCATCCTTAACGAGGAAGATGGTCAAATCATAAAACGACAAGTCCTGAGAACCGTTGGCTCCATACAGTAGAGCACAATTGTGTTGCTAGGAGAGGGACTCAGACTGGAGGCTTCTATTCCCTATGACACCATTTCAACCGCAAAAAAGGCCAAACAAAGAATGTATCAGAACTAAAAAAGGATGAAGATTAGTTCCCATGCCTCTTACTGCTAGATCAGGTATCGAAGATGAGAGAAACTTGGGGAGATTCAAAGGCAAATGATACTCCGAAAATGGCTATGGTTTATTCATGGCATCCTGTTAGGATCATGGGTGAAGAAATTATTTGTTTTTGGAACTTATTTCATGGTAAATCTATTTTGCAATTTTTTGGAAAAACTATCCATGAAACCTTTAACTCATGCCTAAAACTTATATTAATTTCTTTCCGCAATGGTTTGTTAGGAAAAAAACTCATGCCTAGTGCCTGTAAAACATGATGTATATCTAGTAGATATGTATTTGTTCATATTAGTGGTCCAATGACGAAGGCTAGAAAGAAGAACATTGGTAAATTGAATGATTAGTAGATGAATGAGAGAAGACTGGGAAGTACGATAGAAGACAACTCGTTAGTCTACCAGTTCATTGGGAACCCAACATACACTTTTGATAATTAGACTTTGTAATTCCATATGATGCCATTAACATGGTGACATCGCTCAAAGAACTCAAGTGTAAGTGAGAGGAAGAGATGGGAGAATTTTTTTTCTCGTTCATGAGATCTGAAGAACAATAAGAGAAATTAATTGGATGGGAAATGTCAGAAATCATGATGGTTACCTCAACGAACATGTTGTGGACGATGCCACTGGCCACGGCAGTGATGCTTGTTGAGATGACCTTGAGACAGAGCGAATCGAGTGCCTCACACACCTTCGCAGTGGCTTCGTGGGCATTTCCATGTCTCATGCTCACCATTGTCAACTCCTCTGCTACCTGCGTCACCTCCAGCTGCACAACTCATAACCATGTGGTTATTCAATTATGCGTTTTGTGATAGTGTTGTTGGATACATTTTCTCTAGAAGTACTCACATCCGCTCTACTATCATAGAAATGTCTCATTTTCTAATAAATGTTTCGCACATAAACAGAATATCTAGATATAATTAATCAACCCCCCCCCCCACCACCACCACCAATTTTTAATTTGTTCTACAAGTTTTTCCTAATTAAGCACCTTGAACAACAAC